GGACACAAGTGCCGGGAGACGGAGACGGCAGACGGCAGGCAGGAGATGGAGACGGAGACGGAGACGGCAGGCGGCAGACGGCAGACAGGAGACAGAGACAGCAAACGGAGACGGAAAAGGTGGACGGCAGCGGAGACGGAAGACGGAGTGAATGCCGGAGGTGACAGCAGACGGTTTGTAATACGCAGATGCAGGACTCAGTCACCATTCAGTGCCAGAAGGGCCTAGTCCTATCTGCTTTCTCTGGTATAGTGAGTGTTCATGAAAGGTAATAACCCACCACTGGGAGGCCTGAAGGGAGATCTGATCTCGCTATGCAGACGTTCGGAGCAGACCTACACGGTACATTGATTGGATACAAGGGCGTTCCGCGAAGCGTGATATGCAGCCGCACTCTTTGCGTGATGCTCGGCATAGAACTCAGCGAGCTCAGCGACAACCCAGTCGGACTTTAAACGATCAACCCGGAAATATTCAAATGCAAGTTTAAATTAGAATTTCCTCCGGGGTATTTTCAAAGCCAACGCTGTAAACCGGTTGGGGCTTCAGAGGCAAAATGACCTCGCTTTTCCATAAAGCGCGGGTGAAGGATCTCATAATTCAATAAAGTTTGACGGAAGTTTGCGATTGAATCATATCCATCCAATAGGGAGGAGAAGCCCGCCATGTCGGCGCTATAATCTACCGCCATGCCGGAAACACGACTGCAGTCGGTGGCGGTCGCTGTCCCACCTGACATCGAGCGGGGCCGTCGCGGCAGCGTATAGACTACAGCAGAGTTCCGAGTGAACAGCACGCTCCCACAGCAGAGCTCCCGAGTGAACAGCGGGCTCCCACAGCAGAGCTGTAACCGAGTGACAGAGCCGAGCTGGCGGGACGAATAAATAACTGACTATGAAATGATTTGCTTTGTTGAAGTTAACGACTTAGGTCTCGCACATCCTCAGTCTCACAAGTCACACACATACACGCAATCACAGACACAGCCTCACGCACAGAGACGCACAAAGGACCACAGGCGTCACCCGGGGGGCGTCCGAGCTGTGGGCGCCACTTACCGATAAGGGCCCCGTTCGACTGGGCGCCGCGGCGCGGAGATCGATCACCGCCGTGGCTGTTCTCGGGGGATTGTGCGGCGTCAGACGCTGCTCGTGCCGCTCTCCAGAGAGATCAGCCGGCCACCGGAGACGGCCCGGCCGAACACCGCGCGCTGGTAAATAAGGAGACGAGCTGCCGTCGACGGCTGGAGGCTTAGCTCCGCCTGCCCCGTATCGAGTTTGGTCTCGGAGCACCAGGTCGGCTTACCATTTGTCAGGTCCAATCCGGCCTTTGCGGAGAGCGGCCGGGCCCTCACCTGGCGTTCGGCCGCTCTCCCGGGAGCGCAGGGGGAGGGACTCCCCGACCCCCCCCCCTGGTCCGGAACCACCGCTGGGCCGCCGGGACTGTCGATTTATCGGCCTTAGCGACGACGAATGGCCAGAGCCGGCGCCAAAACGGAGCGATTCCTTGATAACGCGCCGCGCCCCTCCATCGCGGGAGGCGACTTCACAAACACTCCGGAGATTAACAACTTTGGCTGTTTTGATTTATGCATGGTGACTTATTGAATTCCGCCGCGGGTCTCAAGTGGCAGAGGATAACAAAATCAAAGGATCCACCAGAAATTCGATGAATAATATGTGATGGAACGCCACTTTCGGTCAAATAAAATTTCCGTCGAAGCTCTTTGTAGTCTGAATGAGTACAAAGACATGTGACATTTTCTAGTCAAATAACTCCTCACTTCATAAGTTATAGCTTGAATAGACAATGCAAGTCAATCTGAGCAGAGTTTGGTTTACCTAATCACTCCTCGCATGAATCGCAGGACGCCGTTCAAAATTGACTCAAAACTGACAGAACTGTTCAAGTCTGTATCGTATATGGATTGATTGCATTAAAACTGACAGAACTGTTCAAGTCTGTATCGTATATGAATTGATTGCATTGCATTATCGACGGCTGTCATACATTTGACCATTCGGCATTAATTATCTGCCGATGCTGTAGAATATCTCTCAATCTAAGACGTCATCAATCCTGGTCTCGATGAAGCGCTCTATCTGACCGGCTGAGCTGCGCCGTTCAAATCCCAGTAATCCAGCGGGCGTGGTGAGCGACACTCAGCGCCGACACTCGGACTGTGAGACTGCCGGGCTTCACTGCTCTTCCGCAAGAACTCCTTAACGAGCGTCAGAATTGTCACTTTTCCTTTTTCCTTTACTTGCCTGCAATAAAATATACTTTAAAAGGCATATTAAAATTCATTTTAACTCTTTGACTAGACGATATATTACGCCATCGCATTCTCGGCAAACTGTATTGCATGGCATGGCAAACTGCAGGATTTGCAGCTTGGCGGGGATTAACGTCTCGCTGGCCAGATTTCTCACCACCGGGGTATGTGACGGCGGCACTCCGCGCTGATCAGGTGATTAACAGGACCTGTATGCCGCGCTGCTCCGCCGCCGGAGGGAATATGGCCTCTCTAATCTACCGCTAATTAAATGCCGTCCGCTCTGCTGGCACGCAGAGGCTGCCTATATCCATTGTGAGCTGCGACACCGCGCTACATCAATGCTATTGGGCCAAATCATGTTGTTGCCGCTAGTATTGTAAGCTATGGATGCGGGCTTATCTCCAAGACAGTAACGGCGGAACACCTTCAAGTAGGGGGGGGGGGGGCACTGCCGACTTTTTGTCCCATTCTTTCCGTGCAACGCCCATAGGGCTAATGTTAAAATGCCAAAATCAAAGGGGGGCATGGTGTCCCGGTGCCCTCCCTGTTCCGCCACCTATGCTCCAAGAGACTGAATTATACAATGATAATATTTTTTTTTGCTATTTAACCCGCGCGGGGCTGGGGTCTCCAGCCGAACGCGCGGGGCTGGGGGGGGGGTAAATTTTACCCCCCTGTTATCTCCCGAACTAATGGTCCGATTTGGAAAATTCAAACGCCAATCGAAAGCTCTCATCACGAACTACTAAAAACATGTACTTAATTTAAAGTTTGAGGTCAAGGTCAAGGTCAGTTCAAGGGTACAAATTGCAAGTTTCTACAGTATCGGCCTTGCACCGTAGTTGCCGAAGAATGGAGTGATGGACTGAGACTGATCGCCCAAAACGTGTTATTAGGCTACCAAGACAATATTCGCTGCATACAATATCATTCAGAGGTCAAGGTCAAGGTCAGGTCAGGTCAGGTCAGGTCACCAAAAAACAAAATATAGAAAAGGGCATGTGCGACACATGTTTTATGGGTCATTTTACTCATAGAATTCAATAGGCACACTCAATAAGTGATATGGACCACCTCTGGATGAATTTCAGGTCGAGGTCACGTCAAGGTCAGGTCAAGTGAGGTCAAATTTTGAAATTGGTTGTTAAGGCCTAAAAAGGTGTCTATCTGATGCAGTTTTTTACGGCGAATCGAATGGTGCTATTTTTGTTTCCGTACGAGGTCTAGAACTTCCAAAAAAAAAGACATTTTTCAAAAAAAATTGTGTGTCGTGACGTCATAAAATTTTGAATAACTCCCACATTTTTGAACCGATTCTTCTAAAATTTGGTATGTAGGTGCACATAGACCACGTCTCTGACATATATTCCGTTTTTTCGATAGACTCAAAATTTTGGATTTTATAATGATTTTCCCAAAAAAGTCAGTTTTTTTGAAAAAATTTAGGCCAAAATCCAAAATTTTCAAAAAACCGAGATAGCCATTTGATAGACAAAGTAAAATTACGTATAACCTTTTTTGTTACGTCTTGATTTCCTTAAAAATGAAGATGTTAGCGGCGTTTGAACTTTTGCCGTTTTTGAGGCGAAAATGGCGAACATGACGTCACTAAAACGTCAATTTCTCAAAAAAATTTCGACGGATTTCGCTCAAATTTTCAGGGAACGTGTCAAATTGATGTTAGAAAAGGTACTGAAAGTTTGGCGGCGCTGCGCGCCGCCGTTTTTGAGATATCGCAAAAATTCGCGAGGGGGGTAAAATTTACCCCCCCCCAGCCCCGCGCGGGTTAAACAACACTCCATTATGACCGTTCCAAAGGTTTTCTGTTTGCTACTTCATTACTTTTGGCATAAGATAATAACTGATATCACATTAGCTTCATGAGGTTCATAACTCTCTCACTTCTTATGCTGGTAGCGCTATATAAATTTGGCAAATCCCACAGGCCACTATTGCAGCAGCGCATACGGTACCGGTGCCGAATTACTGGCTCGGAATGGGGTGAATATTGCCAACTGGGAGTATTCGGTCGCTGAACCGAGCCCCAGCCAGCTCGCCCCGTGAATACAGAGAGGTCGTAGGCGTCAGTTGCAGGCCGACTGGTCGACATACGGTGGCGGGACGGCAGTGCTGCTGGTTCTACCGCTGCTGCTGCTTCTGCTGTATGTTTCAGTGGATTCTATGATAGGGTCTCAGTTCTTGGCTGCACGGTTCCAGACCACCCGTTTTTATGACAGGCCATCCTTTTGGGTGGCCGTGCTGATCACATGACAGCAAAATGCACGGCTGCTGTCAGCTTTAAACAAGCATTGCTACTTTCTACTCGGCTTTGCTTGAACGCTAAATCGACCACAATAATGGGAAATTGTTATTTCTGTTTAATTACAGTCAACTGAGTTCGTGATATATGAGCAGCTTTACGGCTCTAGCAGACCTCTGGACAAATTATCAATTGTTATTTGGTGCCTTATTACGAATAGCTTGAACCATTTTGCGTGCAAATAATTTACGAAAATATTGCAATGATTTATTTATGAAATAAAAAAATAGCAATCATGCTGTGAACGGCAGCTAATGCCAACTTTAATAAGACTAAGTCCTTTGCGTCTGAGACGTCGATTGAAGGCCCGTCTCTAAAAACACACCGGCGCACTTCTCTCAATTACTCGAATGGGCCTCTTTTAAACCTCAGTTGTTTTCGGTGTCGATCGATGAAACCATCCATTTGTTAAACTGTATTTTATGACCGACGTCAACAAACAACACATATTATTTGTGCGGAACCACCTACCGTCCGCAGACCAGCGGTTACCTCATCACCGCTCCCTCGCTAGTCTCTCCAGGAAAACTAGGGGCGACGTCTTTGTACAGTAGCATCACTGGGTCAGCAAGGAAGAACGCTCGCGCAGAAACACACACGCATGTACCAACCTCAACGCAGTCAGATTCTCCCTACCACATCACTCGCCACAGGCGGCGCGGACGCTCTGTTTTCCTGCCGAGTGCCTACTGAAATCACTGCGCACGAACCAGTCGGCGCACCGTCCCTCTCAGACTTCAAGCTCGGGGCCTGTGCCGCGTCCCTCTCCACGCTCGAGCCCCCGGCCCCGGCGGCTCGCCCGGCGGAGGCGGGTACCAGTTCGTCCGTGGACGAGCCCCCGGCCCCGGCTGCTCGCCCGGCGGAGGTGGGCACCAGTTCGTCCGTGGACTGGCTGAGACAGCCCACGTCGGCCGTCTCGAGCAGCGGCTCGGGCCCCTCGGCGCGCTGCTCGCTGGCGTGCACGGCCGCCGCGTGGTTCAGCAGAGCCATGTCGGAGGTGTTGGAGACGCTGGGCAGCACGCCGCCTCCGCCGCCGCCGCCTCGCGCCAGCTGCTGCAGCGTCAGGTGCCTCCTGTGGCGGCGCCAGTGGTGCAGCTTGCGCACCCACACGCCCAGACAGGTGAGCACGATGAGCGTGGCCGGCACCGCCATGGCGATGACGGTAGTGTAGTTTCTGCGCCGGCCGCGCATGTGCAGGAACCCGGCGCGCCTGGTGGTCACCGTCAGTGCCTTCAGCGGGATGACGAACTCGGCGCGTTGCAGCGCCACTGAGAAGGTGTACTCGGTGCCCGGGGCCAGCTGGCTGAAGGTGAAACTCTGCGCCTGCAGGCCCAGGCTGTGCGCGCTGAAGTGGGTGGTGTTGGTGTCGGTGGCGCGGCGCTGACCGAGCAGCACGGCAGCGCCGCCAGTCACGCTCCAGGACACAGTGACGAAGGTGGAGGTCACGGAGACGGGCTCGAGGACGACCCGCGGACTGCGCACGGCGAGTGTCACCGAACGGTGAGACTGGCCCAGGGCGTTGGACGCAGCGCACGTGTAGCGGCCGCTGTCGTTGGTGTGAAGGTAGCGGACAGTGAGCCGGCCCCTCTCGTGACACACCCGACCTGCGCACTGGCCCTCCGACAGGCCGCCGCCCGCGGGCAGCGTCCACAGCAGGCTGGCCGCCGGCACGCCGCCGCCCGAGCACAGGAAGCGGGCCGACTCGCCGAGCCGCTCTGTCCGGTTCTCCGCGAACAGAGGCAGCACGTGCGGGGCGCAGCGCGGTGGGAGCGCGCTCAGGCCGGCCGGCGCGCAGACGTCTCCCACCGCAGCCGTGAGCTGCCTCTGGCCTCCGACCAGCCAGCGCAGCGTGCAGTCGCAGCGCAGAGGGTTCCGGCGCAGGTCCAGCCGCTGCACGGAGTCGGGCACGGCGGCCGGGTGCAGCGTCAGCAGACCGTTCCCGGAGAGATCCAGGTGGCGCAGTCGGGGCACCCGCCGGGCCATCTCCGGCTGGACAAAGTCGAGCCGCGGATTGTCGGAGAGCGTCAGTCGCTCCAGCAGTGGACAGTCGTCCACCGCGTGACGCGCCACGCGCCGCAGTGGGGCCGCCCGGCTGAGCTGCACCTGACGCGCGCTCACCTTGTGAAGAGCGCGGGTGCCGAGCCGCTCCACCGGGTTACCGCTCAGCTCCAGCACCCCGGCAAATTTCACCGCCTTCAGCGCCTCAGTCGGCAGATTCCGGAACATATTATCGGACAGATCCAGTGTCTGCACGTGCAGTCCACGGAGCGCAGCCACGTGCAGCCGACTCAGCCGGTTGGAGGACAGGTCCAGACGAGAGAAGTTGCGGGCGCCGGCGAACGCGCCGCCCGCCACCCTCAGCAGCAGGTTGTGTGAGAGATCCACCGACTGCAGCTCGGTGAGGTCGATCAGCGTGTACCGGGTGAGCGCCGTGAGCAGGTTGTGCGACAGATCGAGCTCGGTGAGCCGCGGCAGCACCAGGCCGGCGTCGGCCACGCTGCCGATCCGGTTCCGCGACAGGTCCAGCTGGCGCAGCGCCGTGAAACTGCGGAACGTGTTGGCCGAGACGGCGGAGAGCAGGTTCCCGCTGAGGTCGAGCCGCTGCAGACTGGGCAGGCCGGCGCCGCTGCCGCTGATGGCTCTCAGGCCGGACCCGCTGCAGTTGAGCAGCTCCAGCCGCTGCAGCAGGCCGAGCCGGCCAAAGTCGAGCCGCCCCAGCCGGTTGTGCTGCAGCAGCAGCTCGGTGGTGTTCTGGGACAGACCGGACGGAGGGGAGGTGAGGTTCCGAGCGGCGCAGTCGGCCACCGAGCCGCTGTACGGACACACGCCGCCCGACCGACCCACCCCGGAGACCAGAGATAGAGTCAGAGCAGGCAGCAGCACCGGCAGCAGCGCCGGCGACCGCATAATAGACGGCAACATTTCGAGCGCTCCTTTATCACAGCACGACACCTGTGCCGGCACGGTAACACTGCTCTGCTCCTCTCTTCCTCTTCTCCTCTCCTCCTCAACCTCTCCTCCTCGATCACTCCTCTTCTCCTTCTCGACTGGGCGTTTCTCCGATGTCGTAACGAACTGCTCGTCCTCTTGAAGTACAGCTGTTCTTTCTAGGCGATGTAACTGTGTGCTGCTCTCTCTCTCTACCAAAATCTCTCATCGCGACGAGCCATTACCTACTGCTGTCGCGGTATAACTGCTGCTCTCGTCGTGGCACAACTGCTCCTCTCGTCGCTCCTCCAGCCGCGGTGGAGCGCCCTCGGCTCGTCACGGTCAATCACCGCCTCCGGCCGGCCCTGCGGACACAAACAAGAGTCGATAGAGAGTCGGTAATGAAGCGGAAAGCCGTGGCCGCGCCGCTAACTCGCCGGGAAGCCCGCCACTGTTCGTCGGCGCATACAACGTCCAATGCGCCGGATAGGGGGATTCGGCAGCACATTGCACTGGTTACACTGATGATCTGGAAACATGTCAATAACTTGGTTTGTCAAAGGGTGCAGGCAAAATTGCTCAACCATGGCAAAATGAAATGTATTCTTGATCGAAGGTATCATGATTGTCATACAAGGATCAGGGATCGCATGGTACGCCTCACCGTGTAATTTTGTGTCAACATATGACTTTAATAGTCATACATAGTCCGCTGTTAAATTATGCGTCGGCTGGTCTGATTGGTCAGCGGTGCCTCTCCGCTGACTCTCATCATTACCATCGGCCGACACTCCGGTAATCTAATCCCGGGACGAGGCACGCAGCCACGCAGCGTCGATGAGGGCGGAAGCTCCTCAGACCAACGATAATCCCCTTATCGAGGGTCGGCAGAGATGCGGCCGACACGAAAATAAATGTGTTAGATGCTGATTTACGTTACAAAGGATCGCAAAAAGTGAAACTTGTCACCTCTTTTGTAAACAAATGCGTAGAAAGTTGATTATACGAACAGAGCAGATGTTGCTGCATTCTCTCAGCTTTGTTCAGTCTTCTCTTATTTATTTTATTTTACTCGTTGCCCAAATTAAGCATACGTATGTTTTGCTCGTTTGATTTAATTTACAGCGATGGATTTATCACATCCAGCGGCACCGATGCTTTGCGGTCTGAACTAAATGGAAACGCTCATCGAGAGTTCATTGGATCTGCAGGCAGCACCGGTTCGTGTCATTCGCCGGCAAATTTAGATAAGCGGAAAGTCTGGTCGGCACTCGTCACAGGCGGAGCCTATCGAGTGGTTTGATCGTCGCTGACAGATCGGCGTTCAGCGGCATTCGCTGATATCAGCCAGCCAGCCACCGGGCTGCGGTAGCGGCGCGATGTGAAACGGAGGCGTTTCAATTTGACCAGAACATTAGATTACAGAGCGCCACGCCGCTGCAGGCTGTATGGAAAGGCGGTGTTGTGGCTGACAGAATGGAACGCATCAGGTGCAGAAACGGGCCGAATTAGGCACATCAGAGAAATAATTTTGATTGAACCGTTACCGATGTTGATGACAACAATCATTTAGGTATTCTACAGTCGGCCATGCTGAAATTCTTTATCATCATTTCATTTGCCGCTGTTTCCATTACTCAAAAATGTTTGCTGGAAGTGTTTAGGAACTGGTGTGCAATATTATAAGTGTTTAATAGGTTTAACGGAGTTATAAGTGTCATAAGTGTTTTTAGGTTTCATGGAGGCAATTTATTGACATATTTCAGCATCATTCACGAATCGAAATTTGAAAAGTTTGAGTGGCGGGCTACCTTGCCCGGTTTATGACTCCAAGAGTTGCGTAGTAAAATATCACTTTGCACCGGATCCATTTACGAGAACACTTTGAAGGTCAGCCAAATATAAAATGGACTCGCACGCCATATGTCAGAAAGGTTGTGAATTATGTTTACGAACAGCTTCAAAATTTCAGGTTTACTCATAGTTACGCCACTTTGTATCTTCTTTTCGAATAATTGGAATATTTCGGCAATTATTTGCGACGATTCTTCTAAAGATATCTTTTAGGTATTTGTCTCTACTACCAGACAGAGCTCCCAGCCCTGACTGACGGAACTTCGCCCCTCATTTAGACCCAGCCTCACACCTGACAGAGCTCCCGCCCCGGAGGTGCCAGGCGCTGCCCCGGCTGTAAACACGCCTCTACATCGCAGTGGCCGCAGGCGTTTAATCTCGCGCCCATTATAATTAGTTGGCCGGATTGGGAGCGTTTGGAGCGTTGCTACGATACACGGGTATGATACCCACACACAGAAAAATATTGACACCGTTAGCGGTGTAATTGCACAGTACATATCTGAGCACTTGAGGAAAGTTAATTTAGTCCCTTCCCCGCTTAACCCTCGCCGGACCTATTGGTTTTCTACATACGCGCCGGCCGAGGGGGGGGGGGGCGGGTACGACCCCCCCCTCGCCGTTTCGCCCCTTGTGGAGCTAGCGCGTCGCGGAAAAAACGAGCGTGTGCGCCGTTACGAGACGCAGAGATTGGTACCCGATTTTAAGGTCCTAGGTCAACCGGTGACCTCTGAGGTCAGGTCAAGTGCCCCAGGGTACGGTTCAGTTTTTGGTGAATAACTTCGTAAAAAACGGCCGCAGAGCGCCGATTTTGGCAGCATCGTGTTCGCCTCGCTCAGGCGCGTCGAATGATATACTTTTTGTCCGGGTCAGGTCAACTTGGGGTGTTGACCTCAGGTCAAGGTCAGGTCAGCACCCCCAGGTCACGAAGTTGGTCGAAAGAGGTCATGTCGCATATCATTCGATTCGGCAGACCTTCCTGAGTCCATTGGTGCCTTTTCCGACTCGCTAGCTCAATTTGATCAAGAGTTATTGACGAAAAACTAATTTGACCTTGATGACGTCATAAATGACGTCACGCAAGGTCAACATTGCAAAAGTGACGCATCTAACCTTGCAAGGAGTGCATCAAATCACGATTCTGTGTGCTTGAGATAGTTGGAGATCGTTCCCGGCGCCAGAATCGCAGTTTGAATTTTTCCCCATTGACTTATAATGGTGAGGTCACGAAAATGACCTGACCTCATATGACCTTTAGGAAAAATCCGAGATATACAAGTTGTGGGACTCATAATGGATACTAGATCCTGCAAGTTTCATTTCCCTGTGACATCTCCTCTGGCAGTGAGGGCGTTGCGAAGTTGCGACATCTGAAGACCGTGCAGAGGTTCACTTATGACGTCATAGGTCAGTGACCTGACCTGACCCAAAAATGCGGTTGGTGTCAAAAGATGCGGCTTGGATCAAAGGTCAGGTATGCCAAGTTTCAGCTCTCTATCGCTAGCGTGTTCGGAGCTATCGCGAAAAAACCCTATGGGGGGGCGGCACCCGCCCCCCCCCCCTCGGCCGGCGAGGGTTAAATTACTCGCGCTTCTAAATGAACACCAGGAAGAAGGTAATAGAACACTGTTAGGAGGGTTGGGTGTTTTACTACATGTAGCAAAACACCCAACCCTCCTAACAGTGTTCTATTACCTTCTTCCTGGTGTTCATTTAGAAGCGCGAGTAATTTAAGCGGGGAAGGGACTAAATTAACTTTCCTCAAGTGCTCAGATATGCACTGTGCAATTACACCGCTAACGGTGTTAATATTTTTCTGTGTGCAGCTGCTCGAATCGGCCTCGTTATGCATAAATACATAAACGGCTGTGGTAATAGGCCATAATGCTTCGCTACACGGCTGCTGATGCGCCGCACGGCTGTGCTATACCGCTGCACTGTGCGGCCAGTCGCCCGTTCCCGACCGGCAGACTCCCCGATACGGCCGCCTCTCCCTGTGTGCTCCGGTAATATCCCCCGAGACCGGGCTCCCATCGCGGCAGACACCGGCGCTCCGTTAGCCGGTCGCTCCGTTACCTGCAAATGAGCTCACCGCCGTGTATCCCGTCTAATTTTATCAAACAGCCCGGCCGACGAGCCGTTACCGAAGCCCATAGCTAGGTAATGGAGAGCTAACGCTATTCCTTCCGGCTTCCCCGTCCGAACAGCCTAAATTTGTCATGACATAAGGAGCATTGATTTAATGTGCGCTGCAGCGTCGCATCCGTGAAAATTAACATAGTTACCTAAACATATTTATGAAATATCCCTTCGGATGCGTTATTGCTCCATTTAATTTTTCTATTTCAGAAAAATATACACTAAACCGCTTATAGTCAAGCATATTAGTTACTAGCATAGAGTCAAATAGAGTAGCTCCGTCATTCCGAGTTAATATTCTATGACGACAGATATGCCTACATACTGATGACCTGTCAACATCAGCATAAGGATGCCTCCCTTGAAACAGGAGCACGTAAATGCGTATTACAGTCGGACCATATATCGACCGTCGACTGCCTGTCTGATTGTTCTCTGATGCTGTCAGTTTTATAGTCTGCCAGCCGCGGAGCCGGGGGCCGCCTGTTATACCGGCCGCGCTGTCTGTCGCTGTTAACGCTCTGTCTGCCAGTGTATCGTCCGTCATCGCTCATTAGTATCTCCGCCGTGGTGCCGTTTCTCTGTACGTGACAGAAGTCGGTGGACGGCGCTATTGTATTCTTGTCTTGGGAAATGCCTCTGTGGCGCACAGAGCCTCATATGTCTATCTTATTTTCATCTGCATGTCTGTAATGTCTTCGCCGTGGGAAATTTATCTGTCATGAACCCGTCTCTCTGCAATAATCCCTTGTCTCTGTCATGCATCTGCTACGTCTTTGTTGTATTTCTGCCATGTATCTGTCATGTTTCTTTCATGTCTCTGCCATCTCTGACGTGTCTCTGTCATGAGCAGTGTCTCTGTCATAATGTCGTAGCTCTTTCATAACATCGTCTCTTTTCCGTTTCTATGTCATGTCTCTGTCGTCTCTCTGACGCTGTCTCTGTCGTGGACAGTGTCTCAGCTACTACACCTTTTTTCATTGCGA